AATGTTGTGGAAAAAAAAAAATCTCTGACCATCACATATATAAAAGAACACCATCATCCCAGCTTGGGTTTTCATGGACTTGCCAATTTTCTTTTTGGATGGAAGAGTTTGGCTTAATAGTGACATTAAGGCGTTTCTGTACATATTCTTTCTCAATGTCATAATTTTTCTTACATCCTAATCAGGAAGTGATTTTTATCATTTGTGGCCTTGATCCTTCACTAAAAATGTATTTGCTCTTTTTCTGCTTTCCGATAGATGCCATCTAGATAGGTGTCAAGATAAGTACAGTAGTGTCCTTGGTGTAACGGTGGGAGAGCCAATGCCTAGAGATGGACAGGCAGTTTGCGTTTTGAGTAGAATGGAGAGGGGCTGGAGACATTTTACTGAGCAGGCTATGGGTCAGCAAAGGGCTAAGGAAGGAGCGGAATCTCTAGGCAGGTGAGGGGAGTAAAGACAGCTGGTCTTGACCTGACGTGAGCTACGTGAAAACCCTACAGCCGAATGCCTGACCAGGCTGCCCTGTAACAGCTCCATATGAAGTTACCTCTTCAGCTCAAGATGTATTGGTATTCGCAGAAGCATCTTGTGTGAAGTTTGCAAGATTGCCTTACCACAGGCACACACACACAGAAAGAAGGGGAGAGAGTAAGAGAGAGAGAAGCAAAAATTGTGTCTGATTTTCTCCTAGGAAAAGAGAACACTGCTAGAAAAGAAACTATCTTTGGAAAACAAGCTGCTGCAACTCAAATCCAGCGCTACCTGTGCTAAAAGGTCTGTGAATGTACCTCCTGAGGAAAACCTGTTCCTCATCCTCTTCCTCTCCACTGGTCCACTGGCCAGCGGACAGAGGCTATACCAGCCTCCACTCCCAAGGAAACAGAAGGACCGACAGTGCAGGAGATGGGGAGAACTCCCGATTCACGGCCCTGTGCCTCCCCTTCCCCGCCCACTGGGATATGGGGGAGAGGGGCAGAGTTCACTGGGGCTACAGGGAAACTGGTGGGAGGATTAATCCTTCTGAAGACTAAATGAGCTTGTTCCCTCCATGTTCACCCTGGGGACAAAGGAGATTCTCTAGACGTCCTCGTTCCCCCTATGTTTCTGATTTTGTTAACGGGCCTCTGCCACAACAGGCATTTAATTGGCCAGCCACAAGTGGAATTTGTAGAGTGACGGAAATACTGAGAAAAATATTCTTTGTTCTTTGCAGGTACTTACAAATACTCATAATCCACAGTCCTCAGTGTGCCCTGGGGTGAGGGTGGGTTTGTGGATACCAGAACTGCTTAACCACTCAGCCACTGTTAAAAAAAATTCTCTGGAATATCACGTAATAACTCATATCACATGACATTTTCCATAGTTTTCCTTTCCTTTTCTAATCTAAGCCCACTCTAGTCATTATGTGTTTTGATATAATGTTCAAAGTCAAATCTGTTTCAAGATCTTAGTTCATCCATCTAGAGAATATACAAATTCTTATTCTCATTTAATCAGTAATATATGATCAAACATCTCTCTCTCGTGGTCTTTTGATATTTTCCCCTTGTTTTCTTTTCCTTTCCTGTTATCTTTCTTTCTCTTCCCATCTGTCATATGCTGTGCCTTCTGGTTCATATACATTTTGACCATTCATGCCAAAGCCCGAACTGGCTGACCCTGGCGATTGCACATACATATCAAAACACAGTGGGGTACCACCAAGTTATCGATTCCCCCATATTCTTCCCTGTGAATAAGCTTATAGCCCCAGCAGGTGGACTTCTGAGAGAATGAAGGAATTACTGTGGAAGATATCTACAGGTCTTTAGAATTACTTACATGTACTTATAACTTAATTCTAAATAAATCTTTGACTTAATTTATTTTTTTCTTAAATAGAGAACTTTCCATGCAGCAGAACTACTGGCTGGTACAATGAGCCTTGCATTAAGAGTCCAGACAGTCTGAGTTTGATTTTTTCCTTTAAAAAATGATTTTTTTCTTTAAAAATGATTTTTTTTTATTGATAATAGGGTTTTTGTCAGTCTTTGAGCCAAAAACGTAACCATTATAAAAACCAAACGGATCTATTCTTTCAGTTTTGTTACATATAAGCAGTTGTTATAAGGAATTCTCAGAAAAAGCTCTTAAAGAATTTTTAGAAATATCTTGAGGGAAAAGGATGTTTTGTGTTTCTAGAAAGGTATTTGAACATCCAGGCTTATGTAATTCTCATAGATTATAGGTATCACAAATATTTATCTTATTACTTTTTCTGAGCTGTGTGTAGAGGTATTCAGTTTGCTAATAGACAAAAAAAAAAAAATGAAATCAGTACGAATCAGACTCTTGGTTAAAGCAATAGAGACTTGGTTAAGCGACCATGAATAAAAGTGATTTCTGTTCAGTGAAGATCGGAGCGAGATGGCCATAAAGAGGGTGCATCTCGTGGGGAAACAGGAAGGCCTCCCTTTGGCACCCAATGTGGTTTTTAGAACGCACATTATTTTGTTGCTCTCATCCAGTCATGGGCGCGTACAGTTTCACCCTTCTCTTGTTCTTCCTGTAGGATTAATTACCTTTTCCCACTATTTTCCACCAGCTGGTTTACATCCTCTGTATTTTCCTTTCTGATTCCGGAGGAAAGAGTCTGATTGGCCTAATAGTATTCTCTGTATTGGGCAGATGGATCATGTCGAACAATCCCTACCTTGTCACTCAACCAGGAACCTTTGGCAGGCACCCATTCCCAGTCCTGTGGGTGTCTTCTTCTTACTCAAGGAATAGTCTAGGGGGCTACGGGTGATTTAATTTTCCTTAGGCATAGATGGTGGGTTTGATAGGCACCGTGACTTTCTTGAATTGCAGTGAGCTCCCTTCTGCCATTTTGATAAAAAGATTCAGTATGTTCTGACTTGCCATTTTTAATGTTAAAAACCATCCCTGAGGATGATAATTCCTAAAGTTTTAAAACTCAGAAGAAAATGACTTTTTTTCTTGCATATGGATATGTATGTATCATTACAATATAGTAAGCTAATCCTCACAAGTACTTTAATGAGAGTTAAAAGATTTGGTAGAAGCATTTTTTCTTAACAATACGGTTAACTCTATATTTCTATTATCATCACTACTAAGTGACACATGTATAGTGCCTTTCGCTTTATAGAGTAACCTCAGGTTCCTTGTTCAATTTAATCCTTCCTTCCAAGGACCTTTCAGGGAGAGACAGGGCTTCAGACTGGTTAAGTGACTTGTCAAGATTCCTCAGGCTCTCAGAAGTTGCAGAGCTGTGAGTCTTGGCTCTAGTATCTTCATAACAAAGCCTGTGCTCCTTCTGCTATGGAAGAAGTTTTACCTTCTTTCTTTGGAAATTTCTGGAGACCTCTCATACTGGTTTCCTCAGTATCCCGTGTAACCATGAGCAGAAGGCAGGCTTCCAACTAATCCCTCTGCCCTGTGGCAAACACACGGGCCCATTTCATAGTTATCCTTTGGAGAAACACATCTGAGGTTTGTAAAGATAAATAGTATGTTGGCTCTTCTCCCTCCCTCCCTCCCTCCCCCCACCTCCCTCTTCCGTCTCTT